ATGCTGTAATTCTCGTTGCTGCTTCAAAAGCTGAAAGCTTTCGCTTTCGCTTCAGAAGCAGCTTGCCACACCATCTGGCTGTAGAAACACACTATGGCCAGCAGATGGCAGCACAGCGCCGTTATCATGCTTCACCTGCCTTCAGTCATTGTTAGAATTACTGTAAATAATGAGTAAAATCAGATATGGACAGATAATTTATTCACTATTTTACTACTGTTATTTTTATATTTACACAATAAATGTAGACTGCGGATTTTCTACCATAAAACGTTTGGAAACCACTGAATCTAACAAACAGAATCAGGGGTGGACTGCGACCAAAATTCAACGCTGGTGTCGATACAGGATCTGCTCGGGTGCAGGATCGGCTCGGGGTCCTTCGACTGCAGATGACGTCACATTACTGCAAATCTACTCGGCTTTCACACATGCGTTTTGGAAAGGCATCAGCAGTTATGTTAATAAATTCTTGTTTGTTAACACCTAATGTTTTCTTTATAATTCTAATTTGTTAATAAAACACCATATTATCTTTGTTTTGTAAAGAATGTGAAACTGCATAAAACCAACATTGGACTGACAAAAATAGAACAGTTCTTATATGTGAAGCCATATCTGTTTGTATTAATGTGGAGTTCATCCGTATATTTCCTTAGTTGTTATCTAAATACATTATTTGACTCAAAATATTGCTTGGTGTCTTTCAATTAAGTTCTTATATTTTATTTTGCCCCATTTCATCAACATCAAGAGCTTTTGAGGGTCACCGTTTATCATTTGCTTATATTTTACATTTCCTTTAGAAATTCAAACATATTTTCTCCAAAAAGTGTTGATTTTTGGACTACAGGACTACAACAGCTAAGAGTAGTTCCGCAAATTTGTCCTGACCAATCAAATCATAACGTGATAACAGAACTTCTGTATACTGCATGTTCAGCCAATCAACTACTTTGGCGTCGTCGGCAGTCGAAGGACCCCGAGCCAATCCTGCACCCGAGCAGGTCCTGTACCGACACTGGCATTTTTACAAATCGTCGGCCCTGCCCATTGGGAGAGTGGTGGAGGTGGGGGGTGTTGCCACCCGCGGACTTGTCTCTAGGCCGAATGTGAGATCTAATATGGGCTAGGACTGTTAAATTACAAGCAGGGCCAGACCGCTGCGACCGAGAGCCATGGCCTTCCAGATCAGCTCATTCTCCTCTGGCGGAGATCAGCGGGACATTAGTTACATGCTAACGCAGTAAAACAACTCCTACATCATCGCTCTACGTGCGTTTTTCTTGCAAGAAAACGCCTGGAAAAACTATGTTAGCTTTGGGTTACCATGTAGCTAATGTTCTGCAGATCACCAGCTGTGGAGTAGTGTCGGCCCAAGCTGGGCAAGCAGCCCACTTGGCTAAGCAGCCCACCGGGATAGTCCCAGAACGCCAGATTGGCCAGTCCACCCCTGAACAGAATTCACTTCTGTAGTTTACCCCACGTTTCTGAAAAAGTTGCTTCTATTTCAAGTTTTACTGATTAATCTATCAGCTTCCATTTTTTTAAACTGCTAACATTTTCTAAAACAAAACACTGGCACCTTCTATGGGATTAGATTTGTGCCAATAGGATCAAGGAAACACTTCGGAGAAAAAAAATTGTTTCAAAAGAAAAACTTACTATCTGAATTAGCTTCTTAAAAAGATCAAGAAAAACACTTTGACGATCAAACAAAAATTAAAAAATTGACAGAACAAAAATATTGACTAAAGGGAAAAACATTGTTTCAAAGGTAAAACTTACTATCTGAATCTACAAATGTCATATGTATACTGATAAGAAATTTATTTTCAAGCATACTCACTTAGATAATTATTCAGTCAGAGTTACATCAAATAAACCATTCATTTGACTGAAAAAGAAGCAGGCAGAAGTATGAACTTTTTTAGCCCATCCAAATAACAGGGAATAAAAAATACATTTATCTGTAAGTAAATGTATTTTAAATGTTATCCCACAATAGCTTATGTAGATTCTGTTTGAGTTATACCATAAAAATCCTGCTGTTCCACTAAAAGAGTATTTACCAGCAAACAGCGCCCCTTGACAGCCTGTTAGCTCTGCTTTCATGCTGCTTCCTCTGTAGCGAGTTAGCTGTACACAGGTTAGCTCCAGTAGCTGCAAAGTCTCTGATGTTCCACAGATTCCTGAAAAAGTAGCAAACTTATTAACATAAACTGCAATAATAGGTAATTCCATGAAGCCAGTAATGAATGTGTTAAGATGAGACTTTAACACGCCTCTCTGCAGCAATAGAGCATTGTCCTAAGGCTAGCTTAACAGCTAGCTAGTGAGCAAACGTCTGGTTAAAACCAACTTAAAAAGTGGCTTAACTTACAGATTTAACTAAGAGTGCCTAAGAAAAGATCAAATTTGTTATCAATACTCATTTTAGATCCTCAGTAGACACTACAGACAGCAGAAATAACGTGTTTGGGGCTCAAAATTCATGTTGTTGACCGAGGTGGGGGAAAAAAAAGTCTTGGACGCTACATCACTTCCAGGTCACTGAACTGTCAATAAAGAGAAAGCACTGTCCTATGGGAGAGGATATCTCAAAAGTCTCACCCACCTGAAAGGGTTGTGTCACAATTGCAACCAAAAACTCAGGGATTGCAAAGGAGAAAGCAGGTAGTGTAAGTGCAAATCTGGTAGTGAGAGAAAAGCTCTGAGCAACAAGAATGAATCAAAGGAAATTGATAACAAAAACACATAGAGGCAAACAGAAAAAGGAAACATACTTTATTACTCATTTTAAGAAGTTGATTCAGACAGTACATATTTCTTTTGAAACATTTATTTTCTCTCAATGTCTTAATATTTTGTTTGACCTCCAAAGTGATTTTTTCTTGATCCTATTGGCACAAATCTTTTCCCATACGCTTCTTCTAACCACAAAATGCCAATGTGAGCATTATTTTTTCTGTAGGGCTGTGATCTGAATCCTCAAGAGAGATTTCTCATCCATCTGTAATGTTAAATTATCTTGATCATCTGTTTCTGTCCTCAGCATCTCATCAGATCTGAGACAGGCAGACGTCCCCCTCAGGTTTCTCTTACTCTGACAAATGGGCGTCGTTGCTGATGGAGTGGACAGTGAGTAGATGACCTATATTTAGATACCTCCAAAAGGCAGCTGACATGGTTTTTTACATTCATGGTTCGTTTTTTGTGTTTGATCTCCTTAAAGGTCGATCAAGGCAATATCTAAAATTAAAATAGTCTACTTTTACATTTTTGGGGACAGAAATATTTCTTTTCAAACCTTTTCTGCATAAAACTGTGATCCTCACACCCTACGTCTCATTTCTAGAGGCCGAAAAGCTTGCTCTTTTGTGTTATAAGCTGGTATGAAGATGTATTTCTAGCAAACACCACTCAGAGTAAACTGATTTTAGTATTTTTGATGGTGACACAGCGGAGCCAAGCTGTGGCCTCAGCAAAGAGAACAGATTATAACATTTAATCACAGAGGCCGATCGCTGAGCTTTGCAGGCTTCTTGCCTCGAGGTTTGATTTACCCGCCCTCTTCCTGAGGAAAAATCTCATTCACTAGACGGATTGCTGAGCAGGTCCCTCTGACTGGCCTCTATAAATCATTCTTTAATCAGAGGCCTGTGAGATTGGGTGCAGACACCCGGCAGGAGCTCCATCGTGACATCTCAACTCCTCCCCATGCATCTCTGCAGCCCTAGCCTCCTCTGCTCTCCACCCTGGGCTTGTCTGCGTTTGTATCAGTCATCAGGAAAACTAAGAGAGATCACCACACACAGACAGCCCAACACTTCCTCTACTAAAACAGAGTTACAGCAGGTAAGGAGAAGTCTTCCACAGTCTATAGTGACCCCATCATTTCTAACGTGTCAGCCAGTTAGTGATGGACCTGGTTATTTACTAGCGAAGATTCAAATGTTTCCTTAAGAGGAATGTGAATGTAGCATGTCATGTCAAAACTGATAACATCTCTTTTTAATTCAGCCATGTTTAGATTTGCCCTGAATAATAGCATTTTGGTAAAGTCGTTTTTTTGGGGGGTGGGGGTGGGGGGGGCTATGTTGTGATCTTTAAAGGTTTTGGCCAGACACCTTCATGTGAGACATTTATTTTGCCTGTTACATGTGACCACTGTCACACGTTAAGTTACAAACACAAGTTTGGACCATTACAGGCCTGTCGCTCTGATGAGCACAAGGTCCTGGAAATGTACTGTACAACCTCACTGGCAACGGGTGAAGAGCTAAATGTATAAAACAGTTTTTATGAAAGGTGAAAGTTTTGTAACCACTTGTTACAAATCAGTAATGATTTTAGTCCTCATGGGCTCTTGTAGA